GAATGTGTGCGTGTGTATGCGGAACCAGAGAGAGTAAGAGTGAGTTTGCTTAAGTGATGATTAGGCACTAGACAAGAGGTGAGAGATGCAAGCTGAGAGATGTTATATGCGAGGTGCCAAGTAATAGATTTCAACTATGCTCTGCTGGGTAGTAAATGGGTATTGTTGTGGTTCAGTCCTCTGTCGTTCTGGTGGGAGAGTAAGTCAGTAATAGTACTGCTGGCACTTAAGTATGGCGCCTAAGCGCTGTCATGCGGAGCCGAAGCACTACCGAGTAAGGTATGTAAGGATATATGTAAGTAAGGGTCCATGATAAAAATAAAAATGGAACGATATGCAAATGTGAGAAATGGAAATATACGCACTAGGGAACTTGGTGGACAGTGGATGGATGCTTCCGGATAGCTGGTGCTATAGGGCGCTCAAGCGCGGGAAAGCGCGCGCGCATATACATCGTGAAGCGCGGGAAAGGTACGCGCGCAAGTTGCGTGGGAATGCGCGAGAAAGCTGCGCCTCATGTAGGAATAGCTGTGGATAGCATACAGAGTGATGCTACAAGTTCGTGCCATGTACTCCCTAGTGAAAACTGCAATATTGCACAATGAGAGGCACGAGTCTCTACAGCAGTCAAGCCAAACAATCGTTCCAAATGAACAAAGAGATCGATTGCGCAAATTACAACTATCTGAAGTGACTCTACTAACTATGACTTGTAGCAGGGAAAGTGAAGTGCAGTGCGAGTAGCTAGCGAGGCAGATTATATCCTACAGCATGAATGTCCGGAAACTGTGTAGGCGAAAACAGTAGTGAGATAAGCCATCCGAAATGTAATAAGACTCGAGGCAAGCCACTACAGAGATATGCATGTAATAATGCGCGAGGCATGCTGCTATACATATAACCAATGGTTTTCGACAGGCCGACAACATATGTGCCCCTAAGACATAATCAATAACAGATAACCAAGTGAAAAACGCACCAGCGAAGTCAAACGGACACGGATGGGACATGGTACGGAGGATCGGAAGTGTATACAGGCCTTGGAAACGGACGGACGAATGCATGGAACTCTTGGAAGGTAAAAGGAGTGTCGAGGAGTGTGTATGTGGAATACCTATGAGTTTGGCAGGATACGAGCCCAACGCCGATCCGAGTGCTACAACGTGTTTTAACTCATGACATCCAAAATCCTGGATTTAGAGGACAATGCCCTTCAACATGTGTTTCTTATTAGATCGGCTATCTAAATGTATTCTACAGTATCGAAAATGCCCCCTTTTCAGTAGTTGGTGAAGGATTTTATTAACATCTTGCGCTGCTATCGTGTAACCCAGATGGACTGGCTGGAAAGTCCAAGTGGCTGTATATTAAGGTTTGAAAGCTTATGTAAAGTTACACTCCATATCCGGAATTTTACTTTTGCCCACCTCTTGCTTGCACCATACCATACTCCATTTTACCTTTTGATTGTGCCGCAATTGGAAAATGTCCGTCACATTTTCCGGCACTCAAAACTTACCTTGGATAGTTCAGATCGGACTCAAAATTTGGGTCAGCATGGTACCATTTCGCCATCTGCCGAAATGTGCTCTTGTTCCAGTATCGAAATTCGAAGTGAGAATCCCTAATCATCCAATGACATTTTGATTTCAATTTCCTTTGAGATAAACTATGTATGTGTAATTAAATTTATCCCACCGTAGGCCCTCATCTGCTCTTACTTTCCGGTAAAAAAAAACGCACAAGGCTATCGCTTACCTAACTGTTTTTCCCACGACTGCTATGTTATTAACATGTTCAACCAGTTTGAACAATGTGGTGCAACTGCTCAGCGCTCAGGCCCCCAGCTCCTGTTACTCGTCCTTGCCTTGAGCTAAGATTTTAACATGATGTTTGCACTCACGACCCTCTTATTCGCCATCTCATCTCTGATATCAATGGCACTCTCACTACCACTGAACTTGAGGGATGTAGTAGATCCGCCCATCACTAGTCCAACGGCGGACACTGTATGGCAAGTCGGAGAGAAGCAGCTGGTAACTTGGTAAGTGTGTACACCCAGGTGTGATTGGATTCTTTCGAATAACACATTTACCGCAGGAGCACTGACGGTTTATCTCCTAATGTTACCAATCCGGTTGGGATGCTGGTTTTGGGATACATGTACAACAACAGCGAGAACTTAATGTTGAGTGAGTCAACCATGCTATAGAATATTATGCTTTTATCGTGATTAAATAACATACTTTTAGGCTCACCACTTGCAACGAACATCAATTATACGGTCGGTCAAGTTCTGATCACCGTCCCCGATGTGGAGACCCGAGAAGATTATATCGTTGTTTGTAAGTGGTGGGTATCTGCGGGAGAAGTAGTTCTAATAATTTTGATCAAGTGTTTGGGGACTCTGGCAACGCCAGTCCAGAATTTACCATCATCAACGACAGCTCATCTTCGTCTGCTCCTGCGCCATCCACATATTCTTCAGATCAGTCGACCACTCCTCCGAGCAGTGCATCCTCTACAACTGAAGTTCTTTCGGAAACCTCGCTATCAACTCCGCTCAATTTGACTCCTACAACAACTTCCGTCATAACACCTACAACTGGGGCGTCTAAGCCTACTTCAAGTTCTGGTACAACCTCAGTTGTCACGTCTACTGTAGCGCCAACACAAACTACACTCACGGGTACTGCATGGAGGAACCATGCGTCAGGCGCGTCGATTATACTCGCCTTGGTATCGCTGGTCTACATCATGTAGGCGCCATGAGCTTTGATTGGCATCCGAAGCATTTCTGAAAATCAGATGGCATGTCTATAATGATTGCGACTCGGTTTCACGAACTCTTACTTACTCATTGTATGATTTTGACGACGAAGGTGGATGGATCTACGACACATACTTGGCTGGCATTCAATCACTCTACTCTAGCATTCTCACGATATCACTGTTATTGGAACACTGCATGATTTACATGAATGTAGCAATTTTTGGTTACTGGAATAGTGCGAGTCGGTTGAGTCGCAAAACAGGTGCACTGCTGGATGACTTGTACGTTCGAAGCCAAGTCAAAGGGTGGTCATATTTTTCGCTGCTTCTTCCACGAGTTTTTGTTCAGTATGAAGAACACGCAACTTAGCTTGAACACGAATAGACCGTGACCCGTGATAGAAAGAAATAATAAAAATGTGCTCTGCAAACTCTACTTAGTGCATACTACCAACACCAACTGAAGTCAGGCCCTATCGTTAAGGACCTGAGCGACTCGAGGACGGACATGATGCTTCCATTTGTACAACTTGGTGACAAAGGTGGATCTAGGGCACATATATACTTTATTCGTATTCCATGATTCCGTACTCAGAAATCAACTGTCTAGAAGCACTCCGAATCCTCGCCACTACCAGAACACCATATGCATGATTTTCATTTGGATGTAATGAATCCTGGTTTTAGAACTTCAAAGAGCCCCTGTTGGTTGAGTCGCGGTACCTACCAGTGGTGGAAACCACTGGGTGATCAATGCTGCATGCATTCCAGATTAGACGCTCTAGATTCATTGAGGGAAAAACGGGTCCCTTATTTCGCTATTTGATTCTAGGGAAGGTTACAAGGGGTATAAAAAGCGGCAATCTCCTAACCTGAGCGTCGAATTGGGCACAATTTCGTGCTGTGTGGGGAACAAGGGCCAGATGATTATCAAGTGTTTGATAACTCGAGAATCTAGAAACGAACAGACAGTATCTATCAGATTGTTCAACGATCCAAGTCGCAAACTAGATGCGAAATGCAGCGCTGCTATTAGCATGAGGGCTTTCCAGATGGGTCGAAAGAAAGGGGGGGGAAGGAGAACGTGAGGCTCATCTTAGAAACTGATGCGAGTACCAGCATGCTGTATGGTCTTCATTTCACGATGATGGGCATGTTGCTCTCCTCATGGTACGCCCTTCATATGTAGTACCAGCAGCGACGTTATTCGCTAGCAGGCTCCAGACCGTTCGAGGAAATGAGGATGCCTGCTGTTCGGGATTTGATCATTCGAGGGGCGCCCAGGACTGCCTTGGACAGACAGATACTTCTGATGATGCGCACCTTCCAGGATATCCGACGAGTTTGGTATCTTCGGCCTCATTTCCGTGACCTCCATATATTCAGCTCTTCGCTTGATATTCCGGAAGGCTGGAACAATTTGGGGCGCAAACTTTCGCCAGCTCAGGCCACTCGTACCTTGATTATAATTGTCCTCAGCCACTTGAGAGTCGAGAACGAAAGAAAAAGGCGCGATGTGCATCCGTTGAATATGCCGTGCTTTTCAGAGAAACAGCTGCCATGCTACCAAACTGAGGTGCATCACGATTTGTAGGTGGGATGGCAGACCATTATTGTAAGACTCGGTGAAGGCCCGAAATCAACTAAAAGCTACCAAGCATGAGTCTTGGGGAACGTGCCATCAGGTTCCACATCTTTGATAACGAACTCGTAATCGCATACAGTCCCACGAAGGCTTCAAGGTGAGTCCCCGTGGTCGCGGAGGGACGCGGTCACGGTAATGTCGTATTTTCATTATGATGTCTCCGACGCTCACGGAAGATGTCAGTTTCAGGTTGGATGCTGTGTCTACACGCGTATAACGCATGCAGATAATAACCAGTATCAGTATCATCGCGAAGGTACGGCGATCGGGCATGGTCTGCATCATGGTGGATCAAAAGTCTGACGTGAGTCACGTGACATATAACGAACAGGATTCTACACACATTTATAATTAATATATATACCGCAACAGTTACTTAGACAAAAGGGATCTAAAACCTGTTATTAGGTCTTCATTTGGGGTGCTACCGGCATGCGATGATACTTACTACGTATATCTTCGGCTCTTCGAGTCACAAGGACGGGGAGCCTAGCGATTTATTTGAACCTCGATGTCAATTCTTGCGGTTTACAAACGTGCAAGTTGTTCAAGAGTCGACCGAAAGAAATCCACCCATTCAATGTGGGTGCTAATAATAAGATCAGATGCCAATCGGATTACTAAAAACAACACGGAGCGCATACTGCGGTCAAGAAAAGTGGTATACTTAGGCTTCTAGGGCCTGGCATTTACTGTAAGTGATAGAGCGCGACAGAAACGTTATGAAATGATACAAAAGATCCTGAATCTTGATCCCCTTCCTGACGAGGAGGATTTGTCGTCTATAATCTAAAGAGTCGTGATGGAAACCGTAAGGAAATCATGTACCCGAAGTAAGATTTGTAATACAGGATGGCGCGCAGTTAAGGCGACCAGTCCTTACTCATAAAGTGCCATGAAATTGGGATTTCACCGGTGTCGAGTGTGCTTAGTTCTTCAAACAGGCCAGGAGACATGTCTACGAAACGAATTTAACGGGTGCGGCACAATTTAAACCCTGAAATAACAACATACCTAGGCTACCTGAGCCACAAGACTCGCATTCGTCACGCGTCTTCCCATACGCGCTCTGTCCGTTGTCGGTGTTGGTGATGTGGATCCACTACGAGCGATAAGCATCCAATGTCCGCATTGCGGGAATGGGAGATGGGCCTACCTGATTGCAGTTTCCTCCACTGTCATATATCTCGGCAGATATAGCGACTATTGGATCACTATCTGTATCCGTATATCCGCAGGCTCCTGTGCCAACTTCAAACCAGGTACCCTTTGTTAAAGCAATTAGCAATCAGCAAACAACTGTCTTTGATCAATTTACCTCGCCTGAGTGTGTGATGCGCTTTTCAAGTGATTCTGTCGTAGTTCTATCGAGCCGTAATGGCGCAGCCAGAACGGTGAAGAAAATCGTGCATAGCGTGATCAAGATAGTCGTTAGTCTATACATGTTGGCAGTCAGCGAGGGGCCAAGATATCGAGTGCGTGAAGACGACGTTAGGGGGGAGCTCTCTACTTGCACTTACTTCGATATACAATCCACAGGCCCTTATATACCTGGAGACAGGCTTTTACCTCACATCAGACATGCTCTTCGGGAAATTTTATTGCTGTGCCAGTTATAGATTGTCCCCGCACTGGAGTCGCGTTGTCTAGACAAGAAAAAGAGGGTACACGGATACGTACCTCATCAAACAACGTACATCGGAAGTCCTGAGGACATATTACTGTCTCCGAGTCGAGGGCAAACCGAAAATTACGGCAAGTTCGAACACAGGTAGACTTGCGAAATCACACACAACAGAAGTGATGCCGTCCGGCTAAGGTGTATACCCTTGGATAATGTTATGAGGGCTATTACTTACTATTTGAATATAGCTGATCTGGAACTCGTAACCCAAAATTTAAGAAAGATTTGACTTGAATGTTGCTTGAAGTAGTCATTTTGTATCCCACGCACCTAGTAATTTTTAGTTTCCACTCCGGCCGTCTTGTTTCCGCGCCAACTTCCCCGCACCTCGTGTTGTTTCTTGTCCACTTCGTTTCTCAGCACTAGCAATATGTCTTTCCGACTCTGTCGTTCTCTCGGCTTCCGACATACCGAACTCTCACCGCGGGGATTGCTTTCCAATAAGCGATGCGGGCACATGACAACTCCTCGGTGCCGTCGCCGTCCTTCGTACTAGTAAAATATCAGGCTCCACGCCTCCAGGAGATTCCTGTCCAGGTCGTACGTGCAGGCTAGCAAATATTGATGCCTAATAGCTGGTTCAGGGATGAGTATCGGTAAAGGCTCATGGGCCAACATTTTCTCGCTTCTCGAACCCTCTCTATCGACGCTCAGAACATACGAGTCACTCGGTTAGTGCTTGACATGTTGCGCACGGCCCGCAAGTCAATTTGGGGTGTTGTGGCCATTTACGCGTAACGGCTGAGCAACGCATGCGTGCTTCACGGACCGATGAAAACTGTCACAGCCAGCGGAATCATTAACGAGCCTGACATATCCTTGGCACGTCAATTTCTGATGAGAAACTCGTGGCTCGAAATGTTCTTCCGTAGTGGCATCGATGTAACCCTTACCAGCGTACTACAGCATATTTGGCGACTTGGAACACTTGAGACATTGCGACCCTTCGAGCTTCAAGCTTCGAGCTCAAACCTTGCATTCGTCGTTCTTTAATGATCGATAATCTCTATGTTTTTTGTCCTGTAATTATCATCTGACTTAATCACCGCCCCATGTCTCACTTCTGCTCATTTGAAACTGATGACATGCTTGAATCAGCAGGTAGGCTAGAGTCGCTTGTCTGCATCGTGTCTCGATTAAATGCAGTTCCCGACTTACAATAGCCGCCCTGTCCCTGTCATGACTTTATTAGAATATATTCGATGTGCGAGTTCAGTGCAACGGTGATGTTTTTCCAACACGCTGTGCCTATAGTACTGCCCGTGATCCGAGTCGTAGACGTCTCGACCCTTACTATATATCCGGCAAGATGAGACTCGGCTGTCAGGTTCCGTTCCGCAATCGCTACTTTTGCTCTTCACCTGACCACTCAGTACTCATTACTCAAGCTCGAATTGCAAACTCAACAGACATACGTTTTGAAAGAAAATGCAGAAACAAACCAACAGCTATGGTCAACTATTGCCTGTAACCTACTGAATCCGCAGTCAATCATAGCATTCATCGCTGACGCTTATTTCACGATCAGGATCAGATAGATCGTATCTCCAGTCTTTTTGATGCCCACCTTGGTCTATTAGCCGATGTGCGTCTTCGAAATTCGACATTTAGGACAGCTGATCACTCACCTGCTTGACTCATACAGGCACGCGAACTGTACCGCGAGAGAGCAGCGTTAGAACGCGATTATGCAACAAAGTTGAAGCAGTTAGCGAAGAAAGCAAGCGAAAAGAAGAACAAGAATGAACTATTACTAGTCCTTGGAGACAAACCCGACAAGGCCTACACGGAAAGTGTGATACAACAGAAGCACGTCCTTTCTTCCCAATTTTAGCCGGGCACTCATATTTTTGAATGGTAGCACCCTGAATCATGCATATTCTGAGATCTTATCATCGATGTCAAGCTCTGCTCAGGACCATATCAACCTAGCGGAGGCATGGTCTCAAATTACGGAATCTCTGAAGGCTGTTGAGCGCCGCAATGATGACTACAAGAAAAAGGTTACATTGTTGTGCAAAATCATGCCTATGCATACTGACGATATATGTAGCAAATGCAGTTCTTTTCCACGATTCTAGCTGGACGCGATAAGATCTATGCTGAACGCATCAAGGCAAGGTCTTGAGCTGGTCCCATACTGCACGTTTAACCATCATGATACAGAGCAAGCAAAAAGTGAGATCCTGGGCACTACAACGCAACTATTCTAACCACCATATTCATAAAGTATGACGCCGATTGCGCCGAAGTTGAAATTCATCGTCAAAAGCAGGTAAGGAAGCTCGTCAAGAATCTTCTCACGGTCATAAATTCTTGTGAAGTCTGTTCACGATCGACACGCGGAGCGCTCAGCGAGACAATATGATCTGCAGAGGCTCGACATGCTCAATAGCAAGAAGTACGTGCTAAAAAAACATATGGAATGTTATCCAATTTTTCCAGCAGTGTCTATATTATTTCAACTGCAACCGCCAACAACGTGAAGACGAAGTTTTATACCGAGGACCTGCCACGTCTTGAAGATGTAAGTTAGGTCACATTATCCTATTCGGCACATACTGACCAACCTTACATCACGCCAAGTCTTTCCGTGAGCGGCTACCACTGTGCACATGATTCGGCTGACTGTCTGCAGAAGAATTACAGACTCGTTTAGTGATGGATTTCGTTGGTGTCATGAGAGAGGCCCAGAATATCCAATTGTCACACCAAAATATCTTGAAGGACCGTCTTACAGCCGTTATCGCCGCTTTGATTGAAGTCCAACCCGATAAGGATCAGGCGCTTTTCGCAGATTACAATATCCATCCGTTCAGCCTACCCAACGACTGGGTATTTGAACCATGTTCAAACCACTACGATACGGTAGGCCTGACTGACTTGAGTTACATGCACTGTGTTAAGAGGTGTAAATTTTAGGGAGATATTTGTATTGATTCAGGTCCCAAGGTGCTCTTACAAAATAAGCTCGCGCGCTCGCGAGCTAAATTGAGAGAACTGGACCATGTGCTTGGAAAAAAACGTGAGTGGAATCTCGCCCCGTGGACTGCTGGTTGCACTCACCATCTTGTGTACAGGGACTGACGCCGAGAAATATCATGTCATGCTTACAGCTTGCGCCACTAATAACACCCCTGGAGACATGGATGATGCCATGAATGTGCGTAGTCATTATGGGTGGAGTATGGGTTCCTTACTAGCTCCTATGCAGAGCTACCTTGACACTGCCCACGAGGTCACTGCCCTCTCGACCTCAGCATGTGTCCTCAACTCGGAAATCAACATGATCGCGGAAGTCCTGGGGGGTAAGTGACATGTTAGACGAACATGGTGCATATGTTAGTTAATATTGGTGCGTAAGGCGACGAGGGAGGTTCGAGCCCACACGTTTTCAAGAGCTCGGCCTTTTCGATACCTACGACATGCGGATACTGTAAGGTATGATTAAGAAGCTGGTGGATGCGTGCCTGTGCTATTTGACCAATATCCGCCTAGGTATCGATCTGGGGTCTAAGTAAGCAGGGAAAGACCTGTAAAAGTTGTGGCTTATCTGTGCATTCTAAATGCGAGTTAAATGTAATTTCATTCTCCCATCTAAACCATGTAGGGACGCCGCTTACGGACATCGTTAGGTACCTGCGGAGTGCAGTAATGTTCACGGCAATTACAAAGCCTCGGAAATTCTGCAGTCTCCCTCTTCTGCCATGTCTATATCGGAGAGTAGATGTAGGTGATTGATAAGTTCTATAACAGGACTCACAAACTATCCGCAGCATCAGTATCCACCAGCTCCAGAAAAACTCCAATACCATCATCTTCTTCTGTGCCACACAATACATCACTTCATGTGGAAGAAACGCATCGATTGGCTCGTGCTATCTTCGACTTCGCGGCGTCCTCGTCCTTCGAATTGAATGTGACAGGTCTGTGTGGCGACATATCCCCATCTTGCACGTGCTGATATGGTTACAAGAGGGTACTGTGGTGCGTGTAGTGGAGGAAGACGATGGTTCCGGATGGGTAAAGGTGGCTGACTCCAATGGTGAGAAAGGGTTGGTCCCTGCGACCTATTTGGAAGATGCAGGCGGATGGCCATTGGAAAAATCTGAACCCTCTCAACGAGATTCTCAGCAAGCGTCAGGCATATACGGTACGAGTACCGCCTATTTTGTCGTACGATCAGTTATTTCTCACTTTTACCCGATAAACAGTACGGGCTCTCTACGACTATCGAGCTCAAGAATCAGGAGAGCTGACGATAAATGAGGGGGACCTCGTTGAGCTGTCCTCTGGAACAAACGGAGGTCAAAACTATGCAGACGGTTGGTGGGAAGGTATCCAGATGGTCTCACCTTCATTTCAATGCCGCCTGACTGATTATAATTTTAGGGTTTTCCAGAGACGGGAAGAAGGGGATATTTCCCAGTAATTATGTACGTGAGCCTGGTTGTCAGCACAAAACATAAAGTTGCTGAACATGTGTCAGGTGAATTTAGCTTGATTATTTTGCAACGATTCTATCGCTGCCGTTAGTTGACGATAGATTAATCACGATTTCGAACACCCTGTACCGTAGTCGGAACCAAATTGGAAAATAATGGTACATACATACCATATAGTGACCACCAATTTCTATCTCCGTATTTCAGAACCAACTACACTACCTCCTTCATTTAAGGTATTATTTTTCGTGGCGATATTGTATCTCCCCATTCTAATAAAGGGATCCTGCCTGATCGCGACCGCCCGCTCCGAGTCCATTCTTGTTCCTTAGTTTACCAGGAGGCACTATTATTAGACCGATCGAGGAGTTTCGAGGTGTCCACTGCATAGGGTGATTTCTGAAAGAACAGCTATTCGTGATACGGATTTACATACAACAGGCCTGGCAAGTCAGCATCGTAGGAAGAGTATGATCGGAATGGGTCGGCCGTAGCCGAGGTCTAGGTATGCCGTCAAAGGACCCTATCGTACGTCACAATGCACCAGCGAACATGAAGTTGTGACAGTCATACATACAAATTTAGCTGTGGTCTACGGTCCTCATCGCAATTTAAAACGGATACAGCCAACCAACCGTGATCTCGGCTAGCCATCATAGGTAGACGGTGTTTTGACAGATTTGTCATTTGACAGTACGGTACAGGACTAGGCCTGCATGCTGGAAGTGTGCAATCAAAAAAAAAATTCTAGAACTTCTCAGGGGGACAACTCGAGCCCTCTTGAGCCTAGTGCAGAAGGGTTATTTTTCTGTTAATAGACAAGCATTTGGACTAAAAAAGAATTGCCTGCGGCCGACCGTTCCCATCAGAGGAATAAGCCTAAACAAACAATAGTTACCAAAGCCCTGGCATCAGGAGCAAGCTATCGATTTCGACGACTAACCGGACATTAACGCATCTGGACAGATGGAGGTCTGGTTGAAGATGTTGAAATCTGCAAGTACCTGAAATACGCCACTTGCTCCTTTGAAAGCCCATCTTCCAAATGAGCTCTCAATTCTGCATCTTTGGCAGTATCTCGCTTCCCTCAGCAGGGATAAATTGGCTCAGAGACTGATGTTGGAGTCCGAATAAGCATCATCTCAACAGTGCTGATTGCGGAGAACTGTCTCTGCATGAATGCGTCAAAGAATGGGATTCCGGAGACGGAAGACGTACATTCCACACATAGAAAGATCATGTGCTTCACAAAGAAAATTAGGGCACCAATAAGGAGTCTGGATGTTCCTAAGTCAGGATGCAATTTGACTCCGCGGTGAGATGGAGCATGTTCATGGGCACTGTACCTCGGTGGCGATTTGTGTTTCTCACATTTCAGATGAATTCCATGACATTGCTTCCACTTGGAGCACATGGAAGCTGCAATGACTTATCTGATCGAGGTTCATAAAAAATTAGTGGATACACGGGAGACCTGTGCCGCTCAGATTTGTATAAGAACTCACCCGTTGTCGTTGATCACCTTCAACACCCCCAACCACTGCTTTTCTCTGCTACACACCTAAATTCCGAGACACTGTGAGCTCGGGGGCTGTTTCACTTATTCTTTCACCTGCATCGGTGTCGTGGCTCCACGCTACGAGTGCACTTGCTGACCCTCGTTTGATAATGACGAGGTTGGTTGTGTACTCTTGCGATGGATGACTGCGACGTCGATCCTTGGGAAGGGGATTATTGTACAGCCCCTTCAGCGAACACCACTCATCTCACCATGAACAAAGCACTGGCAGCATGACAATTATGTCGCAATGCCGCTTATGCCGTCCAAAAGCTCTAGCGAGGTCAATGACACCACTCACAACTGGGAGACCACTGCGCGGACAGTATAAGACGTCAGAAACGCTGGAGTCCGTACCCTATCAGGTAACACTCGCTAACGCGTAGATACAATCCATGCTCGCCGGGTAGAACAGCGGTAACGCAGCAGATGATGTACCATGCTTAGTAGTATCATCTATATCATTGACTTGTTAAGCTTGCGAGTAGCTCTTACTGTAGGCTCGGTGATAATCGTAAGTTCGAGCGGATGGGTGAAGTACTCACCTGCCTATCGATGTGAACCCGTTGGTATGCCGAATGAGTGACAATTTATCAAAAGATTTGAACAGGGAGAAACCAATGAAGTGAAATAATTACATAAAACAGTCCTACGAAAAAGGAGAAAACGAAATGCAGGCTATCTCCCCCCTACTCCAATTGCCGTTCGTATGAATGGGCCATTTGCTCCCATAGGTCCATATGATGTGCCAGATGGTAGTGGCGCAGGCAGGGCACCGCCTAGTGCCGGAGTAGGTAAAGGCACACCCATACCCATTATCACACCCTGGTTCTGGGGGGCGGACAAGGCAGGAGTTTGGTTTTGTGAATCCCTTGGTATCCCTCTATCTTCTCGTTCGGCAATGGTAGCTCCACCTCGACCGGTATCAGTGATGCCGTTGGATGCTGCAAAGGTCTGCCCTAGACCATACAGTTTACAGTTATATTCGGCGTCGTCTATTTGATCATTGAAGTAGAGTTCTCGCATTTTGAAGAATGTGGATGCAGTAAGAAGGGAATCTGATCCGGCCTGGTGTGATGTTCCTATACGCATCACCTGTATGGATCAGCAATTAACTGGTGATCAACTAACCACAGGAGAAATCACGCACACCAAGGTCATCCGCGACTTCCTGTAGTCCTCCTTTGAGGGACTTGGAGGCACGCATCATGAACTTGATGTCGTAGCAATAAGGGAACCAAGTGCGCAGCCATTCAAAGAATTGTTCTTCTGAGGTCGGCAAGGACATCGCAGTCAAAAGCCTGACCAGGTAGCCGAAGTCATAGCCACTGGAATATGGAAGATATACGTCAGTGATGTGAATGTAGAAAAGAGGCTTTCCTAAATGCAACTGAACGACAGCGCTTCAAGAGCGCTTGGTAACCTTACTTGTCTTGTCAAAGAAGATTGTATGACTTACCTATGAAACGATATCCATTTGGCCTCGGGTGCAAGGACCAGACCCGATGTGATCAAGAGTTCAGCAAAGTCATACGGCAATATTCCCATCTCCTCGTGACGCTGGAAATCAAGCCCTGACTTCTGTAACAGGTCGATTGATTCTGGCGCATACATATCTTCACTATGATTTCATTCTTAACATGCAATACCCGACAATTTTGGCTTCTAAAACGCACCTTATGCTGAACTTGAAATTGAATTGCCAAGTTGTGACATCCTGGGGGAAATTACCCTCTTCATCCGCGAGTGTGATACCGGCTTGTATTAGCTTGAGCAGGTCGACATTACATCGCATTGTCTGGTAGTGATAGTCTGAAGATGTTTTGAAAGTGCCTATTGGTCGTGCAACTACACCCGGGAATTCTGTGTCCTACTTCATGGTAAGCATCCATCTGCAAGAAACATCAGACTACGCGCCGCACAATTGCAACGTAAGGGTATTCGTCGATCAGGTCTCGTATGTTCCGCATTTCTGCTTCAAGATTTGGCGCCCATACTTCCCGTATCCGGGACATATCTCAAGAGCCAAACTTGCTGGAATATCAACGTGGTGAACAGTTTCAGGAGGGGATCCAGCGAGAAGATCTAGCTATAGCACTGAGCAGCAGTACGTGGTTTGAAGGCAAGCAAGTCCAAATGCAATATTACATAAGCATGTATTTGCGATTCCAATCGTGGGAGTTTGTATTTAAAGATGATTCGTGTACTTATTACTCGAATACAAACCATCAAAACCATGACATATATGTGTTGTTCTGGCTCTCGACGTTTGACGCCAGTGCACCAAAATCGAAGTTAAACGTGTGATTCCCTACCCTCTGGACTGTATGGCCCGCAGGGGGTGAGGGGTCTGCACTGTGTCTCAAAGTTGCAGCAACCAGATCCTCATTCAAACCCAAATCAAGTGAAAGCATGTCTGTAGACAGCTCTTCAGGTTGCCCTGCGTGATCCACCTGTGAGTTTGTGATTGGATTTGGGTGCCGAGGCGAGTAAGTAGGAAGCTCCTGAATGGTCGGTGGAGCAGTCGTCTCAATATCCTGCAGCGTTTTTTGTAGGAACGAGTGTGCAGCGTCAAAAGAATCTGGCCAATCCCCTGAAATGCTGCACGCAGCTGATCTGACTGGTGACTCTTGAGGTGAAAGGTCGGTATCCATGGTCGAGCTATCTCTGGACGTTTTGAGCCACTGGGCGTACGTCCGACGTGACTTCTCTGCGATTTTAGTGAGTAGAGGCTATATTCCTGTTCAGTAATGATCTCCCAAAAGTCATCCTCATCACTAACCAGCGCCTGAGCGACTTGTGAGCATTCCTCAGCCACGTTCGCGAAAATGCGGTAAATAGTGTCCAACTCCTTCAACGCAAATGGCGCTAGACTTAGGAAAGGCGTTCTGGAAACAATCAATGACAATGCAACCTGGGTCAAAACACCAAGTCAAGATGTAACAGATCACCAGCTTCAGGAGTCACTCACCGCACCAGAGAATGCATTAAACCAGAAACACATGAACCGCTTACTCAGCTGTGGCTCACGACGCAGCATGATCTCTAACGTGGCAACAAGGCGGGAGGCGCTAAGGAATGTTGCAAGAACTGACGGAGCGTATTTGTGTCGATACGTGAAAGCATCAAAGTCACTCAGTGCCTCGGTAAAAAAATTCCTATGAAGCTGCAGTAGGACTTGTGGGTGTCCAGCTTTAGCGCGCAGGCACATAACCTTTCCAGTAAAAACCCACCTATTTCTCGCCCGCTAGCTACTAGTACTTGTTGCATAGTCAACTGTCGGATATCCGTGATACCCTCTGAGTTGAATATGTTGAGTGTAGGAGGGATGTGGAAGTCCCGGATTTTCTTATCGACATCTAGAATGCTAGAATATGGTTGTGGTTGTGCAGATATCGTGGTAACTATGACTGGTGTGAGACAGTGCAGGAAGAATCCGTGCTTCCACTCATGATCTGTGGAATAATCAGTTCTGGTATGAAGGTAAATGGATAAATCAGCCAACATGA